AAAAAAAACCTAATCACAACAAAGAGTGAGCGGAAAAAACAATGGAAATAAATATTTACCGTAAGTGCCGTGTTGGTCCTTTCAAGATTTCGCAATTCTTGGTCGAATCCTGAATGACGTGGAGGGGCCAGCACAACTCTGGCCTCATGGGCTCCACCGACTTGAAGGGCCTGAAGTAAACAACTTCGTTGGTTATGATGTTAGAAATTTCGAAGGGACTACATTGAACTCTACTTGGCCACTATAGCTACCTGGGTGAACGCTGTCGGTGCCATTACTCCAAAAGTAGTTGTCGATCGTGGATGTTCGTCACGATGCCTCAGCTTAACTTCATCTTTCGGCATTGCCAATTCAATTGGTCGAACAACCGCAGCTTCTTGTTGAGGCCTTATTATGGATGGATTGCCGTATGATGGAGGTTTTCCATAGGAAACATTTCCATTCGGTATGTTTGACGGCGACGTTGGTCCTCTAGGGAGGTATCTTACGGTCGGGATGGTTCTACCAGAATGCACTTGTTGGTAGTTGGAAGTGGAATAGGTGGGACGGTTCAGGGGAGACGGCAGGGAGGCGGAGTAGCTGACAGCTGGGTGTTGTATAGAGGGAGATGTTGGCGGTACTCGATGCTCTTCACGCGGTGAAGAATGCGCTGCTGGAGGCGATGATGGCATACTCTGAAAATTTCATCCATTCACTACTCGCAGAAACTCTTTTTACCTACCCCAATGCTTGCATTTATAAAAAGGCTGTATGGAAATTCAGAAAAACAAGCTGGAACTGGGGAATAAAAAGAGACCACAGAGTTTCAAAAAAAACTGTCACAGTGTCCCAGAAAAGTGAAACTATTACAATTCCTGGCAGAGAGTCAAACACTCTTACCAATCTGTATTGATCCAAATTGTCTCGGGAGCCCGCACTGACATAACCTTGCTGTTGTAGCGGATTTGGTGACCTGAACAATTATGCACTTTGACTGCTACAAACAAACAGTAAACCAATAAAGAGCAAAATAAGAAGCTGGCCGATTAGAAGTTAATCTGATAAGAACAAAAGGCAATTGTGGACTCGCAACAAATGGCGCTGCCACCGTATGCACTACACGTTTGGCGAAATTAAGCCTACGTTTCTGGTATAAGACTTCAAAGCAGCTTACCTTGGTGCTGCGAACAGGTTCGTTGCGCTTGGAGGACGATAAAGCGATACCGGTGAATGAGCTCCTCGTCGCAATGCCGAAGGTGACAAGGCCGACGGCCGCCCTAAATATTCGAACGTCGCAAAATACGGAAAACTGATACAAAAAAATCAGATGAAAAAGAAACTGTGACTCTTGGAACACTTGAAACACATTAAAGTAATGATTTTGTGAAATGGTCACAACTTTACAGATTCATTCATTTACTCAAACTATCCAAAAGAGGTCGAGCTCTGTAAGCATTCGAATGATTCGGGTTTCATTCGATGCCTTTTCCCAACAAAAATGTATAAAATGAGAGATTTCCATCAAAGCGTTGGAATGCGCGTCGCATCGCGACCGCATGCGGCAGCACTTGAGAATCTCACTCAGTCACAATCTCAGTTACCCAAAAAATCACAATGCAACGAAAATCAAGCGAGACTATAGAAGTCAATGGGAGAAGGCAGGGAGAGATGTTCAACACCCTTAGTGTTACCTACCCGGCTGAATGACTGTCGGTCTATTTGAGTGTCGATAATGTGACGGAAGTCGATCGAATCCACTGACACCAGTTGTCGATCCTGCCACTGAACGTTGAGAGTACGAGGCATTTGGCTAGAAACAAGCATTTCAAAGAGCGATTTCAGAAAGTACAACATCAAGGCTGCAGCGAAATAAAAAAGTCCTCCCTTCTAATTGCACTCTTACCTATCTGCATCACTTCTCATCCAATCTGACCTTCCCTTGAATTTTAAATTGCATGAAAAAAAAATTAGTTGGGCATTTCTTATCACTCACATCGCTTTGGTAAAGGTCAGACGCCGATACCGATCTGAAATGTCGATTTGGCTCCACACCAACCACTGGCGCACCAGCCGTCACAGGCGCAAAGGCTGAGGCTCGAACACCTGGCGCTGAAGTAACTTTTTTATCAGTCCAGATTCTCGAAAATGAGTCGAGCTGCTCAACAGCCTAAAATGCCCAAGGCAAGTTAAACACCTGACATACCTGGGTGATATCTTTGATAATTGCTATTGTTCGTCTGCACTGACTGCTGGCTACCGTATGCCGGTAACATGGCATAGTTCGAAGAATAATTGCTGCCAATATTCGGAGCTTGGGACACCTGGATGGGTTGGTGGTGTTGTTGCTGTTGTTGTGGTGGTGGTGCATACTGGATTTGATGCTGCATGGAAGTGGCTGGCTGCTGAAAACAGGGCGATGTTTGGAGTTCGACTTGTTTGCCCAACTTCTCCCTAATACCAAATCTACTGACCGCCGTTGCCGAGGGTGGTTGACACAACCAAGCGGACAGTCCGTTACGGAGTGCTGCTCCTTTACGTACATCGAAGCGAATTTCTGCACCTGCACGGGCCATCAAATCAGCCGCCCTAAAATTATTTTACTTATAGAACGAATTTATGTGGTAAGTTTGACAAGCACTTGTATGAGATGAACAAGGTAACTCGTCCGACAGACGGGGCAATTCATTTTGGGAAGGACATTTTACACATGGCGGAAACTTTGCAAGCTGAAGAAACCTTACTCTTCTTGTGATATTCCCAGCAACGATTGTCCATTGACCGATAGTAATTGATCACCAGTTGCCAACCGACCATCCTTTAAAATAAATCTCTTCCAGTACTCTGTTAAATTTGATGCTCGAGAAAATTTAACCAAATAAATTCGATAAACCGACCAACAAATAATTGAAGTAACCAAAAACGTAACCAAAAATCAAAACATGGGAATTAAATTTATTTTAATATTTGTTTATTCATTTTATTATCATTTTTAATTACTTTAAGGGATCAAGAAATTATTGGTTAAGTTTATTTAGGCTACAGATGTGACTGAACATCAAATCTAAAGATATTCGTAGAAAATTGACCCTGAAATGCGCGCAGCCCTCTTGAAGAGGGTTAACCGCATTAACTGTTAGACCATTAAAGAATTTTGGGCGAATACGATCTACCGCGCCGCAACCGCACGCGTCACATGCCATTCATCACAAAACCAACCCTCCCCTAACCACAGAAGATAGTCACAAATTCGAGAACATGGGAACAATTATCCAGGGCGATTGAACTGAAGGTAGCACAATGACAACAGAATTTTATTTTGGAACAAATAGCCACTCTGTCGAAAAAAAAACAATAAAGAAAATCTCCACACTATAAAACGTTTCAAGGCCTATCCCATGTGTTTTGAATTTTTAAAATTCAGAGCTCCAGCTTCGAAAGAATATCAAAAAATGAAAACTTACCGCTGCGGCTGGACTTCCGGCAACGACTTTCTTCACATAAATGCCCACTTGTCTATCTCCAACACCCTGAAATGCATCGTTTTGAAACCTGATCATGATTTGATCAAGTAACGCGATCAATTTGAAAAGGTTCTGGGATGGCATGTAACGGGATTATCCCCTTTATTCCGACCCCTTATATTCAGCCACGAGTTTGAAACTTGCGAGTCTTACTCACTGACGACATCATTACTACCAGGCACGCGATTGTAACTGCCACATTAACCCTCATTCGAACACAAAGTTCTCAGACCCAATACGCTACATTTACGAGTTTTCAAGCGGTAATGACCTTTTTGTGTTCTCCTATAAAGAAAATATGACAAATCGATTCGTCATCGTAACCTACATACATGAAATCTGTTTGATTGAAGATAGGCAGAGTAAGGTAAGGAAAGGAACAGGAATAAATTCGCTCTATAGTAAGAAGAGGCAAACAGGTTTGGTAAACCAATAGGGAAAAAAGAAGCCTAAAGTCTTGGGACATCAATTAATCCCCTCTGAAGGATGCGCCCATGCATTCGACTTCCATTCAGAATCGTGGTACCGCGGCCTTGGAAGCGTGCGTGGCCTATACAGTGAATTGTGATGGCCAGCCGATTTACAACAGTGCCTCTAACCTCCCAGATAAGTCTGTTACCAATTAACCGACCCCGCAAGGATGGAAGGGTTGCCTGAGCGAGTATCAAGCCAGGATTCGATCTCCATACCCTTGCGTGCGTTACAGTGAGCCACTTGCCCTACACCACCTGAAATTTCCGAAAATTCTTAGTAAAAAAATAATGCTCATTATAACGACCAACCCCCATCGAATACGTTTTGCTCTTGACCTCGACCCCAGCCATACCAAGAGATATCTTGGTGTAGAACGACATTTAAATGAGGCCAGAAGCTTCATTTAAAGTCATTTCAGAGCCGAGTTGAAGCCTTCCACTCCAGCCAACTTATCATTTCAGCTCTACTTGTTCAGATATTTATGGGAAACAAGCTCGTTGACTGGAACATCTACTAATTCGAGAAGTTCTAGTAGTGGATTCAACTAACTATACAACCCGAGTAAAACTAAAGAGATATGGTCCATTTTAAAGGAACGATCGACATATACCGACTCGACTTTAACTGATGTGAAGAAAAAGTGAATACATGGCTTACTCCGGAGAAGATCTTCAAAACACTACATTTTCAATGAAGACTAAAACAAAACACACTACATCACTACAAAACATCAAAATTAGAGCGTTTACCCACGTAGGGAATCTCACTAACTGGAATGGACAAAACGAGTTTAGCTTCAAATTACTTCCACTTTTAAAATCCATCAACTCACCTTACAAGCACAGATCCACACCATCACTATAGGAGGAAGCAGGTTCGAAACAGTGCAGACCGTCACAGAAAACAGAGTACTCCCCGCGATTGCAGCTTATTAAGGTCTTATCCTCGATTAGGTAGCGAGTTGAGTCACCTCTACAGCGGATGCTGGCCACAGAATCCTCAGGAAGTTAATCTACCGGTGGTGGTTGTGGCGGTGTGTAGATGACCGCGCTACGACAATGACATGATCCTTATCTATCGACGACGAGACGACGACGACAACTACTACAGGCGCTGGCTGACTCGAAGAAAAAGGTTGCCGATTTAGATGTTATGATTGGGACGACAACGGCCTCGCTGGTGTTGTCGCGCCCTCTGCGCTTTGTAAAGAAACTTGGCCATCTTAGGAAGCGGAAACCAGTTCAGTGGACAGTATTTAATGGCTATCTCTACATCTTACAAAACGACGAATTCGCCGACACAAAAGCCTAGTTGGAATGTCTCCATCGTTATATCGGAGGGCTAGACTCATACCTCCGAGAGAGTAGACTTCGACTATATTGCAAAATGTCGTTTACCAAGCTTCCTGCAAGGGACAATGATCAGTGCCTTTGGTCATTAACTGTTCAAGAAATATTTGTTATTGAAAGCAATAATTGGGCTCAGTTCCTACCAGTATTGAATTTCACGTTCCCACTCGTTCCTTCTCGTCCCTTTTCTGCCTCTTCGAGACATAACAACCCTAGCTGCTCCTTCTCTTTCCATACTATTGAGACTTTTAGCTTCATCTTGCACTGGCCTCATTTACTGAGGGTCTTTCTGACGAAAATTCCGAAGCCGATTCCTGGCAAGCCCACTTGACATAGCCTCATTTAAGGGCGGAGGCGGAAAATTGCGGCCATTATACACTATGTACCGTCTTCGGACGCTGATTACTTCTGGGAATGAGCTTCTTTTCATGCTGCGCTGAAGCTACCTACACTATCTGTCTCATAACTAGCTTGAGTAAAATCTTGCATCAGAGTGAATAGAAAGGAAGCGTGAGAGGCCCTCTGAAGTCGCTTCTGATACTAAAGCTTCACTGTTCAGACTCATACTGCACGGCAACCCACCAAAACCCTCTAAGAAGATGTAGAAAAGCTTTTCGTGATAAGAAATGAAGATTTCTAGAAAACCATATCTCTTCATGTAACAGAATAGAATTGACTAAACTGGATGAAAAACTGACAAAGCCCATCACATAAACTACCGACGCTGAACAACACGCAGTTCTACCGGGCCCATCGATGCGATGGACATGGAATTCATCTCATGGGAGCTTTTCAGACAATGTATGTAGGCCGTGTCATTCTAGATCGCAAGTTTTATTTCGCAAAGAGCCAAGTACAAGAACTGAAGCGGCAAAATTTCCATCGACCAAAACCACCTCGCTACTTATAAGAGTCTGTGAGGGACGCTATTATCCCATCAGGGAGCACCACCACTTCTTCAAAGCCTTAGTCCTAGGTGGGAACTCACAAGAACCGGTAAACCGTTTTTCCCACTGCGCATTTTTAATGCCTCCCAAAAAGCTTCCTCATACAAGCGGAAGCTGTTTTGTTGAGAAAAAATGTTTTATCGAAAATCGATTCGAGAAAATTGATCAAAAGCAAGAATTCAAACCAACGGACCTGTGCAGCCACAATACTAAGCCCAATTCCACCGGAACCTCGCTTCAACACCACTCGTATCACCTCCTCGTTCATACTACCGAAGCTGTCACCCTATACAAAAAGAAAATGAGTGGCAAAGAACTGTTTAAAATAAAAATCAATTGGAAAAATCCACCTACAAATTGAGTTGTAGGTAGACTGGTAAGGGTTGATTGTGAAGAAGTACGTTGAACTGCTGATTTAACTGGCAACTGTGGCGATGGCCCTGGGGCAGTTTGAACAGGTGGCCGTTGCTGCAAGATGAAAAACAGATAAAAAATAGCTCCATTAGAAAAAAGTCAAAAGATAAAAAGGATTCCGGCCACAAATCACTTCGAGTACACTACAGATGTACCCGCGATAATCGACTGATGAATATACCCTAACAAACAATAGCGTAAAGAAGGTCGGGAAAGAATTGAAGCGAAAATGCTCCACCGGCATGGTTAAAAAACCAGAAACTAGTAATGACAGGACAGCCTTATAATAAGCAATCGGATAGGAAAAAAAGAAGAATGTACTCACCATAACAGTCGTATTGTTCACTAAAGGTGACGCACGCCATGGGGCCAAATTCGATTCCTGGACAGAGACCGAGTGGCATAAGCCTTTGTCCTGTAGCGACAACAGATATTGTACCAAACCATCGGGTACGCCTCGGAGCTGCTCTGAAAAGATCCGACATGTCTGTGTTAAATTAAAAATAAAAGAATTCAGGCGTTCGGACTACTACCAATTTGCCTCCGCAAGTCGTAGAAAACCCACCGGTTGATATTTGGCGTCTTTATTGGTCTGGGCATGACGCAATTAGGGCTTGAAGTAGAACTCCACCCATTAGTGTTGAGGATGACGAGTTAGCCAACCACGATTTGCTATTGCGTCTTGGCATACCCTACGCCAGCGTAAAAACGTCATATGGGGAATTATACTCCAGCCAAGGTTCCTTCTCAGTATTTACTCTGCAGAACCAATCAGATTGTTAACCGCGTAATTAATTGTGCGTAGCGACCGGGAACGAGTTTGAAGAAGAATTATACTTGTGCTCTCAGTTCATGAGCCGAAGGGGAAAAAGAGATTGTCTTCGTTCGGAGTGAAATTGAGCAACATTGCATGACCATACCGCTGCCCAATTAGCCATAAAAATGGTAAGGAAATGGCTGGGTGGTGGAGAAATGCCTGACCCGCGATAGAGAAAGGAAAAGAGGAGAAATATACGCGGACTACTTAACCTGGTCAGTTCTTTGTCCCAAAAATAAGCAGCAGGGTCTAAGTAATCATAAGAATTGCCTCAGCAATGAAAAGGTTGGTAGTATGTTTGAGCCATTTTCACAAACTGCTCTCCCTCATTCAATTGAAGGGTCGATTAGAGACAGACTTTCATTCCCCCACTTTTCCACCGAAGAACACCAATTCGATACTTTCTAGACTTACCGGCAGTATATCCATCTTGCGGTAACAAAAACGGCAAAAGCAATTGTTCTGACTCGGCTAGCGTAATTGGATGGCCATCCTGAACTCGATTTTACTTCAGAAAAAGTTGACTACTACATAAACGAGATTCTCAGAGGCAGCGAGATTGGCTGTAATACTTCCAGTTTCCTACCTGTAACGTTAGATGATCTGCCTGTCGTTCAGCCAGACTAACTATCCGTGTTATGACATCATTATCACACGGAATCTCACCATCTTGAGCAGAAAAATGTGTGAGCAGATATCGGACCTAAAGACTCGTTAAAGAACTAAAGCTTTTACTTGCACCATATGACTTTATTTTTATTGCTAGTAAAGTCCTGAAATCGATGCAAGACAAACCTGCAAGCTGTTCAACTTGTAGCAGGTGGCCCCCAGGGCTGCGACATCGTTTTTCTGGGCAGCCAAAAGAGCTGCCGCTTGTCGACTACGGTCCAAATGACATTCAGCCGCCAACTCGACACCCATTTGTTCAGCCCACCTGTAAAAGATGTCGTCTTTATAAATTATACCCATCATACTTTTTCGAAGATAATCGTGCAGCAAACTACAAGGCAAACAGGAGAAAATATGGAAAAAAAAAACATGGAAAAGTTCATCAAACCCCTCGCCTTCCTTCAAGCATAAAAAATCGTGAACAGTGAGTACTTACCCATGCAACGCTGCCAGTCGAGCTTGTAAACACTTGCCTAATCGTGTGGTCAACCGGACTGGCTGAAAAAAGGAACTAATAAGAGATGATCACTCAAGAAATAGAGGTAATCGATCGGTACGGAACGCGTAAGGTCGCGTTTTGACCTAAGCGGCTAGCCGCTAAAGCTGCAACGCGACCGCACGCGTCTCATACTGACCATGTTCAGCCCGACAGAATTAGTAGAAAATTTTCTACTTACCGCTGATGATACACCAACGAGTGCATTGAAAATGGTAGCATTAATAGCGTGAAGTACATGACTACACAACTGTATCGTTAGGGCTGCATTTAACCGTGAAGCTCGAGCTGCTCTCAGCGTACCGTCTAGCAAGGACAGGAGTTCATCTGAAAAACTTTTTGCAGCTAGTTGTCCAACCTTCAACCAATTTCGTTTCACATTTAAACATTTTTCACGCGCGGCACTGGTCCACGATTTCCTACTCCATAATCAATCAATCAACCATTAACCATCAGGATCTTCCTTGATCCTAGTTATCCCTTTATTCCCAATCTAAACAACTGATCGCCACCCACAGGTGTTACATTTGCATTCAAGAGGAAGTTAACTTTCAGATGTTGTGGGAGCCGACTAAAACCCTCATGTAAACATAGTGTTCCTAGTAAGCGCTCTCAATTTGCCCACAGCCAAAATCGTATTAGGGTACAAGCCGAAGTAAGACATGAGAATGCTGGCAAATTCTAGGAAAACTAGCTTGATCAATAGGCAGTTTCCTTATCGACTACTGGGAACGTGCCCTGCCGTGCCCCTTCATCCGTTTTTTGTCTAGCCAGACTAATCATAGTGGAAAACAAGCAGCTTCTTTTTCTGAATCTGAAGAAGAAGAGACGGCTCCCGGCGGAAGGCCATCATTAAGGACAACTTACATCAACGCCTAATTCATCGACTTGGGTGCGTAAGCAATCAAAGCAATCAGAAAAAAATCAGAGAATCATCAACTTACTGCTGCCATCCTCAATAGGAATAGTAACATCTAACATAGGCTTGCATGCCGGTCGAAGGGCTCCCAGAAGAACAGTACATAACCGTCGGAACACTGTCTCTACAACTGTTCCCAGCTGACCTGCCCTGAAATCGGACCAGCTAGTGACGATACTTCGGAAAAACAGGGATATTTGAGAAAAAACATTTTCTACCTAGGTGTGCGCAAATCTGGATCCCGTTCTACCAAAAACGATAACTCGCTTGCATTGGCCAACCAGAATAGCAACTCATCTCGAGAAGTACAATCCTGCAATACAATTCGATTTTGATGTTTCCGAAACCACCCCAACAAACCCAAATAGAAAAATCGGGGAAAACCCCCACTCTGAAAGAAAAATCGAAAACTTTTATAAGCACAATTAGGAAAAAAGTTCAAATTTAGCGTTCGCCCAGAAGTAGTTCCCTAGTATCCATAGTAACCAGTAAAACTGGTCTAACTGGTCACTGGAATCACATCACATTTTCTCAGCGGCTATTACTAAGAAATCTGAAAGCTAGCGGATTTATCAGAGAAAACTCGCCCACATGCATCGCCCTCATGCATACTCCTAGATTAACCTTTTGCCGTCATCCAAAAACTAGTAGAGCAACTATGCCTACGACTTCTAATGAATACCAATGCCGTGTACGGATTTCTCTAGGAAATCTTCCATGTACGATCCCGAGTTAGAAGCAAAATACCAACGGTAAGACTTTAAATGGTACTCGACGACCTGCCTGTTTGCTTACCGCGAGTCATAAACCAGGCACTAAACTGAACAAACACTATAAGGCGACCGACCTGGGAGATTTGATTCATGTGATGAGCAATTCGGGTGAAGAACTGCACCAAGTAAGGTTTCGAATGGGATTGGAAGAATCGTAATGCCAAATACAGAGAGTAGGCCGGCGATAAACGGAATGCACCAGCATCAATCCAGCCTCTTGACATCACCTGAACACAGAACATGACTGTTGAAGGTTTTTAAAAAAACTGGTAAAGAAGAAAGAATCAGTGAATCACTCACCTCAACTAGGTAATCCCATACTTTATAGTCTCCAATTTGAAGGGATAACGGCAAATTCGGTGCCATACCGGATGACGGCATACCGTTGAATGTCTGGGCCGTACCTATTGGAGCTAGGGTTTGTACCGTGGGGGCACTGTCAACTTTCTCGGTCGGTTGTCGTGAGGTTGATGATGAACTTGAGAGGCTGAAATTCAATAAATTGATATTACAGAAATCGGCGATTCTATAAAGCTTATTTAAAAGGGTCTAAAAAAAGAGGGAAGTTTCACGGGGACATCACAAATACAGCAAATCACACGGACAACACCCAAGACAACTGTGGCAACTCAGAAGTCATGCAAGTTCAGGCGAAGGCAAGCTACGCCTCCTATAAAGATGTTATGTGTGAGTGCCATCGTTACTTACAGAGACTTCAGTTGACTCGGTGTTACTCGACTGTGCCGTGGATCGTAGACACTCTCCAGGAGCCCATGAGCTGAGGCAAAACGCCTCATTTTTGGCGATTCCTTTAGTTTATTTTTGGTAATGATTCCTTGGCTAGGATTCAACAAAAACACACAAAAACAAGCAAAACGTTCAACTCGACGGACATTGTTTTGTAACGACGTGATAAACAACATAGAATTAGTAAACAAAAGCTAACGAGTGTTACTTTTTGAACTGGACCGTGTTAAGTGCAGTGTCAAAAAACAAGAACGATGACACCGAAAATCGGAAGACGAAACACACATTCAATGATCAGTACTTGGAATGATGGAGCCAAATAGCGGAAAAGAAAGGTCGAGAAAAACCCTATCCGAAAAAAATTTAGAAGAAATAGCACAACCCACTCATCACACAAGAAAACTTTCTTTTAGTAAGCTGTCGGGATGAAAATCGAAAGTGGAACCCTAACGAGCATCGAAAATCGGAAAACGAAACTCGAAATGAATTATCCGAATCCAATCCAAATTCGTGAGAGGGATAATTGAAAGATCGACAAGAACAGTCCGGAAAATGAAGCCTAATTGAGCATCTGTGTGGAATTATGAGTATCACCGCTGTTCAGAGTCGTTTCGGTGTTAAGATATAGCTACGCAAGTAGCAAAAGACCCAGTAATCACAAGGCAGTGCAAGTAAACACCTGAAGGATCGATCAAAATGAATCGGGAGGTACCTCAGATATCACCCTAAACAGCATCGAAATTCGGAAAACAAAGCTCGGAACTAATTATTCAAATGCTAGGGGAAAAGGAGAACTGGCACAACAAGATGTGCCATCGGACTGAACGTCCGTCCGTCCGCGGCTCTCGGAAAACTGCCCTCGCCCGCGTCACTATAGAGATAAGATGTGGCTATGAAAATTGGCAAACGTTGAGACGTTGCACAAGCAACAGGCAGTGCAAATGAACCCCATACTTTCAAAGAACGAAGTCAAAGGGAAAGTAAGAGAAATCCAATAAAAGAAACGGGTAATGGAAAGGAGAAATGAGCTCAAACATCCCCTCAGACGAGATAATCAGATAAGAATCACGAACAAATTCCAGATAAGAAATGAACCGTGAAAGTCACACTTTCCGCACAACAGTACGAAGGACAGCTCCTCAGAGTTCAGCCATAGCTGCTAGAAGGTCGATGCAGCTTTCGAAAAGGCTCCACGCAAGCATTGCACGGCTTTCAGCAAAAAAATTCATTTACATATATTAAAAATCAATAAAGACCGGTTTAGGCCTGCTCGCCACCACATGTATTGTAATTACAATAAACGGCTTGAATTTTAGATTGATTGTATTGATTTTTTATGTGGTGAGCGACGGCATTTCAGCGTAAATCGGAAAATTCAGCAATGGGATAACTTCTGAAGAACCAAATTCAAATCGAGTTATATCAAGTTTGAAGATCCAACACATAGTTCCTTCCAAGGACAATCATCTAACCAGTGGCTTCACAGCAAGTGATTCCCAAAGACACCCCCTGTTCGAATAATACCTTCACCAACGGGACTACTACTGAACGGAGAACGGAGAAGGACGTCCTCGGCATATCTGAGTTCGAGTTCATGGACGTCAACTGAAACCAGTAATCAAATCTTTTAGTTCCCTTCCAGGTCACACCGTACTTTCACGGTGCCTGGCTCTTAGCGTACTTTCGAAGTAAAGTTCTTGTAAAACTTCTTGGAACAACTGGTTAATCGGACCCGTGGGATAATCGATTGGGACAGCTTTCTGATAATAACATCCAGCTCTCTACAGTTATAGGTTTCCTACAGTACCAAAGTTGCGAACTCTCGAAAACTAGGAAACGAAAATAAACGGTCCCGTAGAGGAAAAATATTTTCGGCAAAGAATCATTAGTGAATCGGTTTCAATAGTAGTTGCTGAATCCCTCCTCCACATTCCTTTTCCGAAAAGCCAGTCAAAAATATAAACAAACGCGAACAAAACATATTTAGAATTTTCAAAAGCTTGCCACGAATAGAAAGAAGACAGCAGTCAGAGGAAATGGTCCGCAATAAATAATTAGCTATTGCTTTTTTCTATTCAGAAAACTCAATAAACTGGTCATAGTGACTGCCATTCGAAGCCGCTGCATCACACTTTCAAGAAAGCTTCTACAAATCATTACATACAGGTGAATCATTGCCGAATTGCATTCCACAGGTCCTAATAAGGTTAATTACAAAGAAATCAAAAAATTAACGTAGCCCGACAATCTGCTCACAAAAGCTATGAGCCACTTTTGTGAGCAGATTGTCAGGCTACGTTAATTCTCTGATTTCATTGTAATCAACCTTACTAGGTCCTGTGGAACTCTAATTGAAAAGAAAATACTCAAAGTGATTACTACTGAAAAAAGCAGAGCAGAAAAAATCCAAAAAAAACAAAGAGAAGTTTTTGATTAAAATAGCGCAAGCGTAATTATAGATGTAGATTTAGAACGACAATAAGGGACCACTTCTTGTTCTTCAACACCATCTCAAAAACAGAGCTCCGTTCCAAACTTTTCGATGAAACAGGTGGCGAAAAGAATTAGAAGCCGCCCGGAAACGGCTCCAAAAGCAAACGAACATCAGAATTTGGAAAATGAATAGCTCTTGGGAAAACAACTTGGAATTGAACCGAAGGAAATTCGGTTCGCTTTTATCCAATTGAAACACTTAGGTTCCTTCAAGCCCAAGGCTCATCAGTGAGGATGGGCTGACGAAAACAAGAAACAATTGTTTCGGCAAATCACGTCAAAGGCGAGCGAAAATCCCAAATTTCTACAGCAAGACATACAAAGGGAGGGGGCTCGCATAGCAATGTACTAGAATGAAAGGGTGGACATACAGTAACCAGTAGCAGTACTGTAGAATGAGAGCATAGTAAATTATGTCGTTATTCCAATAGGGAAGTGTACATCAGTACAAATACAGAGAGACATATCGAAATAAATGTAGCTGAATAAACCGCAAAAATTGTCTGCCGTTTGCGCCACGTCTCAAGCGCTGAGTCAGAATTTGCGAAGAAGCATTACGTTTTTTCTCAATCAAGCCGCTGCAGTCAATCTGCTAACGTCTGATTCACCCGTCGCTTGACAGACATTGGCAATGCAAACCATACCAAAAGACATTTCAATTGACGTTCTGTAGGGCGCTTCACTATGTTCATCATTATCATTAATGAGTGAAGATACTGATGAATATTACTTGACAATTATTAAAATTTATGAATATTCGTCATACTAAAAATCCTACAAGGACAGAAAATATCAGAATGAGCTCTGAATTTCTGAAAAAAAAAATCAGAACAAAAACAAAAACNAGCCGCTGCAGTCAATCTGCTAACGTCTGATTCACCCGTCGCTTGACAGACATTGGCAATGCAAACCATACCAAAAGACATTTCAATTGGCATTCCATAGAGCACTTCACCAATCTCACCATTATCATTAATGACTGATGATACTGATGAATATTACTTGATAATTATTAATATTTATGAATATTCTTCATACTAAAAATTTTTTAAGGATAGAAAATATCAAAATGAGCTTTGAATTTCAGAGAAAAAAATGAGGAAAAAAAGAAACGCTTGCGATTTCCAATGATAAAATGCTCCGGAAAGAAGAAGACATGGAGGCAAGAGAATCAGTCAAACTCGAGATTTGGGGTGAAATTTCAGGAAAGCCAAAGCAATTCAGCAAATGTGAGTATTCCCGCTATAAGGCAATGACCTATAAGCTTTTCCAATATTTACTTCGGCATATAATTAGCTGTAACGCCTTTTGAAAGCCCTCTGAGACTGAGATGCAGCAGTTTTCGAAGAAAAGTGACTTTACTATATCATATCACTGACCGAAATATGTTCTTTTATCCTTTCTAATAACCAATTCTATTAATGCACTTCTGCGAAGCTGTAGGACGATTCAAGAAACAGTATTCTGTTGTTGTTGTTTGCTGTTTCAATCAACAACAACAAAGTACAGCCCAGTCCATCCAATATATTTTGGAAAAAGAAACAGAAAAGCAGTTAGATATGGAGGGTGATATGATATAATAAGAAATTAATTGATGAAGTCTTCCCAAAAAAACATCCATTTCATTTCAGAACTACTACAGTAAATCCTACAGTAAAGCGTACAGAAAATCATAAACGAGAGGACAGACAGCCATTATCATACAGAATCTTTCACGAGGGAACAATATACGTCGTACAATCGTGCATATATCAATCGATATGCTTTCAGAACAGAAGGCTTGAAAAGTTGATTAGCTGATGCAATAATGCCACGTAACCACGCCCTGCATGCTTTCTTTTTTGCAATAACCACAAAAACAGTACAGTACAGAAGTAAAAGCAGAAAGTACACTACAGTATACAAGCAAACACGTACAGCACGTACAGCGCACAACAGCAACATCTACTTCTCACAGTTTCCACTCTACTTATTAGCCTTATGGAACGCGAGGACAGATAGGAAAATATGACTTCAAAGAGAGAAAAGCGCAAAAAACGCAGAAAACAAAACCGATTAGTTTTCTTAACCAACAGCAAATGGGCAGGAGTTGTTGACATTTCGATAATTGAATTTATAAAATGTTACTTATGTAGTCATTTTCTTGATTATTCAAACTGTGGCAGAGAATAAAGAAAAGGAAATCAAAGAGGTCAAGTGTTGGAATTCTGATTTGGTATAAGAGTGCATTCATAGATTCTACTCTCATTTCAAAACCAATCCTCCCAATCAACCACCGAACAGAGTCCGACCCT